ACATTTTATTGTTGGATGTAACTGGGACCCTGTGTACATAATTTCGCTCCACCACATGTACCACATGAGGTGCGAATGACAATAAAGAAACTCTGACTCTGACTCTGACTCTGAAAATGTTGGATTGTATACCTGGATTATTGAGCATGGACTTTGTTGTTATAGTTGGGTTTGTTTGAGTTTCCTGAGAAATCCCTTATTTATTCTGATATAGGCTTAGACTGCTGGAGGACAAATGGACCACATTTCATCACGCTGCTGCTTTCTTTATTTGCTCCACTTTACCTTACCATGAGTTTTTCTTTTTTTGTTCTTCCACTAGAAAGCACACCTGGACCTGTCATTCTATATTTGTTTCTCGTTCATGTTCTCTCAAACCCCAGCCGGTCGAAGCAGATGGCCACTCGTCCTGAGCCTGGTTCTGCTGGAGCTTTTTACCCGTTAAAAGGGAGTTTTTCCTTTCCACTGTTGCCTTTGTGCTTCCTCAGGATGGGAAACTGTGACCAAGTGAAGGTTCAATGCATTCTGTTGGCTTTCTTGGATAACTTTTACTAATCAGCTTTTATAATGTATGTGAATGCTTTTCGTTCAGTACCCTGAGATGACTTCTGTTGGGACTTGGAGTTACATAAATACACTGAATTGCATTGAATAAAAAGAAACATTTGAAACCAAAGATAGATGTTGCAGCAATCAATGCGTTATAAGAATGTTTGGCATTTTAGGACTTTAGTTACCCAACTTCTGTTGAACTTTAACTCCTAGATAGCCAGGATAATAGTGAAAATTTAACCTTATGTTGTGCTGTGCAGGTTTACACACTTCATAAGCAGCCCATCTTTGTCAGAAACGTCTAGTAAGTATAGCTTCCAGTTATTAGAAGAAAAATTAGCTAATTTCATATTAACTTTATTATCTGAAACATCCTACAAAGCATGAGTTCAGTGAATTGAAAGAAAAATTGTAAATGGAATGTACTGTAGATAGCACCTTTCTATCTTGTCGAGATACTTGAAGCTTTTTACACTACAGTCTGTGTCCTCATTTACCCATTCATACAGCACTCCACTAGATCTGTACAAAGAATAATGGTGCTTTATCCAATTCATACACCAACAGGACACACATCGGAGGCAATGAGGGTTCAGTGTCTTGCCTATGGCATGTGACTGTTAGTGGAAACGAATTTCCAACTTTTGAGAAGTAAAATGGGTAAGGAAAAACAAACGTGTCATAAAAGTTTAATGCCTCCAATTTTTGAACAAAAACCAAAATTTACAGAGCTTTACCTCTGAATAAAATCCGCAAACTTAACAATTTTTGAAAGTGGCTTGTGCCAAGTCATCTGACAAAACAAAAAACAACATTGTTCTTACACCTTTTCTAGTTATGGACATTGGATGACCGTTCATGACATTCCAGTTATGGTCAGAACAAAACTTCTAAAATAGATCAAAAACCCACACCTGAACCAAATAAACACTTTATTCCTAGCTGTGACACACTGAATCTTCACTCCATTGCTTTTGCCTCCATTGTCTGTATATTTATTTAAAAAAATAGGTGGTCACGTCTTGTCTAATCTCCTTGAAAAGCCACCCTAACCTCCAATCAAAACAGTTCAGTTCACCCTCCCCCAGCCTTTTTAGTCTGTGTTGCCTTTTGTAATGGGCATCACCTGCCATAGGATACATGAAAGATACATCATACAAGACCACGTCAGATGGTAAAAATCTGTTCATACCATATTCCTTTGTTAATGAAAAATATACAATCAATCTCTCCCTTAGCCATCTCTCCATTTAAATACTGTTTAAAATTAACACATTTTTAAAAACAATTTATCATATTTTCTGGCGTATAAGCAGCAGCTTTTTGCATAGATTTGTCAGTCCTGTGACTTTTACGCCTAAGCGACTTATATACATTTTTTTTCTCCATATTCATAATGCAATTTTTGACTGACGCTTTTAAATTTTAAAGAACTGCAACAGCAAGTCCTCCTGTGCATGCTTTCTTATCTTAGCTGGTGCAGGCGGAGGAACGCCGGAGAGCTGGCGGCTCCGGCAGCGATGGATGGATGTATGGCACCGGGTCGCCCAGACGAAATGAAGTTGTTTTTTTACCATTAAATAAACTCATAATAAATGCAACTTATACACCAAAGTGACTTGTATGTATTTTTTTCCTCGTCATGATGTGACTTATATTCCGGAGCAACTTATACGCAAGAAAATACGGTATTTCCCTTTTTTTTTTTTTTTTCAAGTTATCAAATTATTATTAAACTATTCACTCTTGACTGGTGTTGACTGGTGGAGACGCAAGCATCCCCACTTTCTTCAGCACCTTGTCCACATTAGGAATGAGTTTTTCTTGAAAGTCCCACAGTCGTTTGTCCACATGAAGTTGTTCCAGTTTTATTGATCCTTGCAGGGGTGCGCGGACATGAATGACTCTGCAAACATCCCGAGGAACCTTGTATTGTTGTCCAAATCTCCTTACAGCTAAATGCACTGAAGTCTGCTCCACCATCCTGCGATGCACACACAAAAATGGGTTAAGAGAAATTTGTCATTGAATTTTTATGAGTTATACAGCCCAAATAGGTTTTTGTCAATTTATATGATGTAATAATATAAATTAAACGTTAATGTTCAGCTGTTTAAAAACAAAACAAAAACAACAACAACAAAAAACTTTTTTTTTTTCAGGAAATAGGAATAGGCAGGTAAAACTTTTATTGCATGTTGAGTAAACTTAACTTCACCATTGAGTTCTAACTTATAAACATAAAAATACCTTGAAGATGCCATCTATCTCGAAACCCAGAGGAAATTGGCTAAAGGAGTAAACTACAGAGAAACGAACCTGAATCAGGTAAGAACCAGTGTTGGAAAGACCAAAACAACTTGATAAAATGTGAGCTTTTTATGAATGCAACCTGTGAATGTGGTCACCAAATCCAGAACATGGGCCATCTTTTAACTTCCTGAACCTTAAGTCCAGTGCATACTGTATAACATCTACAGACCACTGTCAGGTCAACAAAAGAGCAAAGACATGGCTGTCTTTCTGGTGTGACACATTATGATACGGTGATAATTAAATATTGCTGTTTAAAACATATGCTTCACATTTATTACAGTTTTAATTGGTTTCAACAATGTTTTATCATAATATGAAAGGTTTGTCTTGATAAATACCCTGAGTGGTGATTAAAAAATGTCTATTTTAGCATTCCTTGAAAAAAGGCATATCTTCACCTGCCGTTCCTAGACCTGTATTACACTAGAGCAATATCATTTTCGTATACCAAAGTTCATGCTCAATAATCCAGGTAAAATTACAACAATGTTCAGTCAGGTCATCTGGACGGTTTCTCTTTTTTTGTTGAGACGTTTTGTCCTCCATCAAAAGAACTTGTTCAATCTGAGGAGATGCCAAACAAACTGATTTCCTGATGCTGTTTGTGGAAATCAGTTTGTTTGGTGTCTCCTCAGATTGAAGAAGTCCTATGGATGGAGGACGAAATGTCTCAGCAAAAAAAGAAACCCTCCAGATGATCTGACTGAACATTGTTGGATCATCTTCTTATGTTGGTAAATAAGAGGGTTCAGTATTTTGGCCAAACTTAAAACATTGTGTCCAGTCTTGCAATATAATGTGAAATGTGTCACTTTGAATGCTTGAAGAATGCTTTGAAAACAACTCAGCTACTACCACTACAAGTTTTAATTCAATGTTAGTAAAATTAACTGGAATACACCAGTTTATGTTTTCTAAGGTCAGATGGCTGTTGCAGCCGCCTACAATCTGGTATACTCCAAAAGTAAACAAGTTGCACTGTAGGTGTACATCCAGCGATTATTTCCTGAGCATTTGATAAAAAATTTTCAAGTGGTTTATGAGATATTTTGCTAAAGGACAGGCAAAAGCACGCCTAATTGGTAAAAACAACATTGCCTGCCTTTCCTCTTTTGGCAGGAGGCGATATAAATAAATAAATAGAAATAGAGCACTGAATTTGGTTTTCAGCCTACCTTGGTTGAACGATCAACTTGAGGGGATGATATCTATTTATGTCAGGATCTTCTCGGTAAATGTGCTCCAGAATATTAACTCCTGGCACCCCGTTCCATTGAGGAAGATGAAACCTTCCACTTGGCTCGAAGTGCTCCTTGGGAAAGATATGATTCTCAATGCGAAACACACCAACCTAAAATAAGAAAATTTGTTGTTAAGAAAATTTATTTGTTAAGAAAATAAAGGTGGGGGAGGATGCCGGTCAGACCTGGCAAGCCCAAATGTATTGTGAGTGTTTGCTGGGAATGTCTGGCAGAGTCTCCCATGAGATGGAGCTTTAACTCCCACCTCCAGGAGAACTTGGAACATGTTCTGGGGGAGGTAGAGGACATTGAGTTCGAGTGGGCCATGTTCCGTGCATCCATTGTCGAGGCAGCTTACTGGAGCTGTGGCCGCAAGTTTGTTAGTGCCTGTCACGGCGGGAACCCTCGAACACGGTGGTAGATACCGGCCATGAGGGATGCTGTCAGGCTGAAGAAGGAGTCCTATTGGGTCTTTTTGGCATGTGGGATGCCTGAAGCAGCTGATGGGTACCGGCAGTCCAAGCGGCATGCGGCTTGGGTGGTTGCTGAGGCAAAAACTCTGGCATGGGAGGAGTTTGGAGAAGCCATGGAGAATAACTTCCGTACGGCTTCAAGGCGATTCTGGTCCACCATCCGGCGTCTCAGGGGGGGATGTGGTACACCACCAACACTGTTTATAGTGGAGGTGGTGTGCTACTGACCTCAGCTTGGGATGTCGTGGGTCGGTGGGCAGAATACTTTGAAGACCTCCTCAATCCCAACGGTACATCTTCCACTGAGGAAACAGAGCCTGGGGACTTTGGGTCGGGCTCTCCAATCTCTGGTGCTAAGGTCACCGAGGTGTTTAAAAAGCTCCTCAGTGGCAGGGCCCCAGGGTTGGATGAGATTCGCCCAGAGTTCCTTAAGGTTCTGGATGTTGTAGGGTTGTGTTGGCTTTCACGACTCTGCACTATTGCGTGGACATCGGGGGAAGTTCCCCTGGATTGGCAGACTGGGGTGGTGGTCCCCCTATTCAAAAAGGGGGACTGCAGAGTGTGTTCCAAATACAGGGGAATCACACTGTTAAGCCTCCCTGGTAAGGTCTATTCGGGGGTTCTGGAGAGGAGGGTCCGTCGGATAGTCAAATCTCGGATTCAGGAGGACCAGTGTAGATTTGTCCTGGTCAGGGAACACTGCACCAGCTCTACACCCTCAGCAGGGTCCTGGGGGGGGGGGGGGGGAGTTTGCCCAACAAGTCTGCATGTACTTTGTGGACTTGGAGAAGGCGTTCGACTGCGTCCCTCACGGAACCCTGTTGGGGGGTACTCTGGGAGTATGGGGTACCAGGTCCTTTGAAACAGGCTGTTAGGTCCCTGTATGACCAGTGTCAGAGCTTGGTCCGCATTGCCGGCGGTAAGTCGCGCTCATTCCCAGTGAGAGTTGGACGCCGCCAAGGTTGCCCTTTGTCACCAATTCTGTTCATAACTTTTATGGACAGAATTTCTAGGTGCAGCCAAGGTCTTGAGGGGATCTGTTTTGGTGGCCTTAGGATCATGTCTATGCTTTTTGCAGATGATGTGGTCCTATAGGCTTCATCAGGTCATGATTTACATACCGGGCTCGAGAATGTTTATGGATCTTACCAGAGGACATTGACTGATTACAGTGACCTCGAGGGCATCTATAAGCGTTGTTGACCGCTCTCGTCTCTGATTGCAGAATGTCTACGTAAATATGTGCTTGTTTGTGCAAAGTGTTTTTTCAATATTAGGGTTTTTTCTCAGCCAAGAAAAAAGTCTGATAGGAATTTTTTTCGCCTCCAACTCCTACATGTGTCCAGTTAATGACTGTTTTTGTCTGTTCTAACAGGTCTCACTTGTAAATGAGTCTTCGAGGCTCAATGTGATTTATCTGTTTAAATAAAGGTTGAATGAATGAAAATTTACAGCTTTCACTGGAGCGGTTCATAGCTGAGTGTGACGTGGCCGGGATGAAGATCTGTTCCTTCAAATCTGTGGCCATGGTTTTGAGCCGAAAAAGGGTAGAGTGCCCTCTCCAGGTCGGGGAGGAGGTCCTGCCCTAAGTGAAAGAGTTTAAGTATCTTGGGGTCTCGTTCACAAATGAGGGAAGAATGGAGCGAGAGATCGATAGGCAGATAGGTGCGGCATCTGCAGTGAAGCGGACGCTTTACTGGTCTGTCGTGGTGAAGAGAGAGCTGAGTCAAAAGGCGAAGCTCTCAATTTACCGGTCGATCTACGTTTCTACCCTCATCTGTGGTCATGAGCTTTGGGTTGTGACCGAAAGAACGAGATCTCGGATACAAGCGGCTGAAATGAGTTTTCTCCACAGGCTGTCCGAGCTCCCCCTTAGAGAGAGGGTGAGAAGCTAGATCATCCAGGAAGGACTCAGAGTAGAGCCACTGCTTCTTCACATCGAGAGGAGCCAGTTGAGGTAGCTCGGGCATCTGGTTAGGATGCCTCCTGGATGCCTCCCTGGTGAGGTGTTCCAGATATGTCCCACTGGGAGGAGACCCAGAGGAAGACCCAGGACACGCTAGAGGGACTATGTTTCTTGGCTGGCCTGGGAATGCCTCGCGATTCCCCCGGAGGAGCTGGTTCAAGTGGCTGGGGAGAGGGAAGTCTGGGCCTCCCTACTTAAGCTGCTATTCTCACGACCTGACCCTGGATGAGTAGAAGAAAATGGATGGATGGATGGAAGAAAATAAAGGGTATATAGAAAATATGCTTGACAGGGACAACCTACATCTGGATGTTGATTTTGCAGTGTGTCCATCAGAGACATCAGGTTGTTGTGTTGATATGGCATGATGATCTCATCTA